ACTGTCCCCTGGCTGCGGAGCTGAGCCCTGCCCTGCAATGAGGTTTTCCTCCCCAGGCGGGCAGGAAGCCACAGGGAGCTTGTGGAAGGTCGGCTGCTGCCTCCGGAAGCTTCTCCCCTCCAAGGTGGCCACAGGATACCCTGCAGAGGACAGTGGACACGGGCCTGTGGGGTGTGAGGACTGAGCCGGCTTCCCCTTCCCACATGGCTCTGGGTTGCAGCAGCCACTTGCATGGAAGTGCCGCCTGGAGGCAAGCAGGCTCCTGGGCATCACCTGCTCCTCAGGGTAACATGCGTGTCCAAGGGGCATGTGTGAGCTTTTCTGCAAAATCGACTCCCAGTGTTGCTTGTACTGTATGTTTCTCTACTGTATGGAAAATAAAGTTTACAAGCACATGCTTCTCAGCCGACAGGGGCACTGGGGCAGCCTCCCCACAGCTGGCCACGGTTCTTCCTGGGTATCTATCTAACACATGACTGGGCATCCCTGCTCTAAAGACCTGCGCCTTTAGAGGGTTTCCACGACAGCTGAGCATTGGGGCACACCAGGTCTCAGGGTTGTGTGGCGCTACCTGCGCCTTTAGAGGGTTTCCACGACAGCTGAGCACTGGGGCACACCAGGTCTCAGGGTTAAGTCTAGCAGCCATGGCAAGCCCTGGCTCCACCTCTTATTTCCAGCTGCATGGTCTTGGGCAAGAGATGTCCCCTTCATCCCTGGCCTCTGCCTCTGTACAGCAGGAAGGCTGGCTCTGCTGAATTTCTGGTTGCCCCCAGACGCAAGGTGTCAGGTACAGCCTTGGGAAACCACCTGGCTTATGGGGAGCTCCCACTAAGCCCCACTGTGAGTGTCCAGTCATATGACAAAGTCTTTCCTTGTGCTATTTCACCCTCGCTGCAATGGAGAAACTGAGGCAGAGAGTGATTTCAATGAGCAGGAGGTCCAGGGACACAGCTCCCAGTGTCTGGAAGCAGAGCACTGGGAGTTGTGAACTTGCCCCCGCCCTCTGCTCCACCCAGAGTGGGCCACCCCCGCCAGGCCCCAAGCTGCTCTGGGTGGAGCAGGCGAGCAGGTCAAGTTCACCCCCACCAAGCCCCAAGCCATTCTGGCCTGGTCTAAGCTTCAGTCCACCTGCCAGCCTCAGACAGCCATGTCCACCCTCCAGGCCCTGCTCTCACTCTTGCCTGTGGCCTGGACTCTTCACACACACAGTGGCCCATGGGGTGTTGGGGGGCTGGGGTCGGGAAGAGGGCTTGGAGAGCCGTGACCTTACCGATTATCAGAGACCTGAGCAGGTAAGGAGGGTCGAGGGTCACAGGGAAGCCACGGTCCCATTCCCACGACTCTTCCAAATCTGAAGGGTCAGGGTCACTAGCGATTTCTGGGGTTCTGGGGGCTCAGGGGGAACTGGGTGTAGAATCCCTACACCCAGGGATTCTGCCTGTTCACACTGTCCCTGCGTCGATGTCCACCACATGAAGCCACTTCTCCCCTGACAACTGTTCCCACCTTGTGGGGGACAAGCCCTGACACCTCAGCTCAGACCACCTTCTCCACTCCTGCATCTGTCCACAAATGCCACAAATCACAACCCCACCAGCTCACTCTCAGGTGGGCTGAGCTCTCCTGGCTCTGTCTGGGTCGAGGTCACCTCGAAGCCTGGCTTTGAAGGCCTCCTGTTCAGCCCCGAGATCCTGTGTGGGGGCCTGAGGAGCACAGCGGGGCTGTGGCGTCAGGAGGCTGAGCTCAGATGACCCTCTGAGACTCGGTTTCTCTACCTGTCAAATGGAGATAATGTTTTCTTAATGGTGTGGGTTCCATTGAAGGGGATGACTGATTGAGCACTGGATTAAACACCGTGAGAAGGGTCCTGCTCACACTCCAGCCCCGAATGTCCCCCCCAGACATTGCTTCCCACCACCCTCCTGCTCCCTGCCCCTGGCGCCAAATGACCATGGCTTCGGATGCCCATCTGTAATGCAGGGAGGTGGGATGGGGCTCTCTGAGCTTGGGAGTGAGCCAGCCCAGGCTGTGGGCCCAGTTCTGATGCCCTCAAGGTGACCTCTGTGGGGGCCTTCAGCTCTGGGTGTCAGCATCCAGGAGGCCTGTGGCTGCCACCTCCCGAGGAAGAGGGACAGTGGCACTCAGGCAGCCCTCCCCTGATGGTGGTCACCCTCTTGCCTGCCCCAACTGTCCCTGTCATAGTGGGGGGTTGAGACCTCTGTCCTCCCAGCTTTTGAGACCTGACTGCTCCCTCTGGGCGGAGCCACCTCCCTAGCTGCCCCTCCAGCAGCCCTCGGTGAAAAACAACCTTTGCAGAGCCCGGCAGCTGCAGCCCAGCCATTGTGCAACCCTTGGGCTCCTGTGCAGCCCCAGCTGCTGGGCCACCACCCACCTCTCTGTGTGTCCCGTGAAGATGTAAACAGGGTGCTCACAGGCCAGCACCCACGAGGAGGAGTGCCCTGACCCAGGCTGGGTCCTCAGTGAACACTTGGAATCCCACAGGCACAGGTCCCCATGTCCCAACACAGAGGCAGAAATGGAGGCCCAGAGAGGGCCTGCTCCAGGTCACATGTGAGCCAGTGAGTGGCCTCCAAGTGACCAGTGCTGGGCTCCCATCTGTTCCCTTAGGCAGCTGTGGTGCAGGTGCTGAAGGGCAGACCTCTGATGCCCTGGCCCAGGGCCCAGTCATTGCGTCCGGGAGGGTGGCCCGCCTCCCACGGCAGACCCATGGGTCATGCATCTTCCTTCCAGAGTCCCTGCCTGCTCCCTCTGAGGCAGGTGGGCTCAGAACAGATGAGCACAGGTGGAAATGTCAGAATTGGGTCAGGGCTGAAGGAGCAGAGGAGTGTCCAGGGCTGTCACCCACGCCTGCTGCATTCCTACCGACCATTCCCTCTATGATAGGCTGAAGAATGGCCCCCAAAGGCATCCATGTGGTAACCTCAGAGCCCCAGAATATCTCATATGGCAAAAGGGACTTAGCACATGATCTGGGCAAAGACCGTAAAGTGGGGACAGGATCCTGATTTTAGGGCGAGCCCGATGTGACACAAGAGTCCTTATAAGGGGGACCCAGAAAGGGTCAGCAGAAGGTAGAAAACGGGACGACGGAGCAAGAGGTGGGGGCGCTGTGGGGAGGAGCTGAGAATGCAGAGGACTTCCAGAAGCTGGAAAGGCAAGGAAATGTCCCTTCAGAGCCCCCAGAAGGAGCTGGCCCACTGGCTTTTTGACTTGAGCCCACACAGACTGACTGTAGACACTGCGAGAGAAGTCCGTGCCGTGCTCGTTGCCAGGTTCATGATCATTCGTTAGAGCAGCTGCAGGAAATGCCCCAGCTCTTCAAGCTGGGCTCCAAATTCTCCCCCCCCAGGAAGCCCCACCCTGCCCACGCTGAGTCCTGTGGTCTCCAGTTTCTGGCTTATTTCCTTGTTCCTCTGGATGTTGACTGCTCCGGCTCCCCACGCCATAGAAACACTTGCTCCAGGAGCTCAGGAACTTGGCTTGAATCCCAGCCATGTCCCCAGAGTCAACCCCAGAGCCAAGAGCAGAGCAGGTGCTCAGTGAATGAGTTTTAGTTCAAATGGGAGCCGTGGGCTAGAAAGCTCATCTCAGCTCTGTCATCCTGGGGCCCAGGCTGCCATGTCACTCCAAGCAACCCCCAAAATCCAGGATGCCAGGATGCAGGAATGCCAAAATGCCAGGATGCCAGGAATGCCAGGATCCAGGATGCCAGGATCCAGGATGCCAGGGAGGGGAAGATGCAGGGAGAAGAGGTGCGGGTGGGAGGAAAAGGGCCCCCTCTCCTCAGAGCTATGATTCTCTAAGGCCCAGCATCCTCTCTGAAAGTGGAGGGGCAATCTTCCCTCTGCAGAAATCCACCCCCGAAGGAGCAGGCCGTGCGCTGCCCTGCACCCACGCAGCCACCACGGAGCCCTCTCCCAGGACCCCTCTAGGCTCCAGGGATACCCCAGGCAGGAGGGCCTCCAAGGGGAAATCCCCTCTCCTCCTCACCTCGCCAGTCCCTGCCTCTGTCCCACTCCCTCCTCTCACTTCAGAAGAAGGGACCCCTACTCCCTGGGCTCTGGGGCCGCCCTCCATGGCTCCTTAGAGGACACGATCCCTTATCTCACCTCTCACCACCTGAGAGCTGTCCTTTCCCTGATGTTTCATCAGTGGCCATAATCCGCACTCACCTTCCTGTCCCCAGAGTTCCCTCTGCCTTCTGGGGTCCAGAGGAGAGGTCACAGGTTGGCCATCTGCAAAACACTCCCTAACCCGCCATTCTCCTTTGACAAGTCTTCCTACCTTGATGGTGACACGCTCTGACACCTCAGCTCAGACACCTTCTAGACCTCCAGTGTCTGCCTGAAAATGCCAGGGAAGGAGGCGATCGCCTCAAGAGGCAGGGCATCAGTGACCTTTGTGGGGACAGGGCTGCTCATGGGCTGGTCTGGAGGGAGGTTCTGGGGGGTCAGGACTTGCGTGCTGGTCATCTGGGGTTTGCTTTGTGATAGCGCATTGGTCTGTCAGGTTTCTCTGCAAATCCTCCCAGACAAGCAAACCTGGCCCTTCAAACCCAGACAAGGCAAACACTGGAAGAATATGCACAGCACACACGAGTATGTGCACTCAAGGCTCACATGCATGTGCACATTTGGATGCATGTGTGCATGGCATGGCACATGTGAGTGTGCAGACACAGCTCACACGAGTACACGCACACTCAGATACATGTGCACGGCATCGCACATGTAAGTGTGTACACTTCTGGCTCACATGAATTTTCACACAGATGCGTGTGTGCGTGGCACAGCACATGCTAGTATGAACACTCACGGCTCACATGAGTTCGTGCATGCATGCATGGGCACGGCACACATGGGTGACCTTTCTGAGAGCTGACAGACATGCTTGAAACACTTTTATTTTTTCTAAATCATTTTTACTGTCAAGTGTGGTACATGTAAAAATGTGCCACAAACCTAACAGTCCAACGCACTACCAGGAAGCAAACCCCACATGGCCAGCACCCAAGTCCTGACTCCCCAGAACCTCCCTCCAGCCCGTCCCATCCACAGCCCTCTCCCCACAAAGGTCACTGACGTTCTGCCTCAAGGTAATTGCCTCCTTCCCTTTGTAGATTTACCACGGAAGCATGGATTGCTAAGCACAGGTGCATGCTGGCAGCATTGTTCACGTGAAATTACACAGATGTGCTCACTTGCATCTGGCTTCTGCTCGACATTACATTTGTGAGATTCCTCCATGTTGACATGTGCAGCTGAAGGCTACCAGTATCTGCCACTGTATGGTATCTGCTCTGGGAACATATGGCAATTCCTTCACCAAGTCCCCTGCTGATGGCCACTTGGGGTGTCTCTAACTTGGGAGTATGATGCATCATGATGTAACATCCTCATACATGTGTCTTGTGACTTGTCCAAGCATCTCTGTGGGGCGTATTCCTAGGACTGAAGCTGCTGGGTCATACAGTATACTTAGACTCAGTTTCGGTAGAAACGCAAACTTTTCAAAGTGGTTTCCCTGACTTGCACTTCCAACCGCAGTGTGTGTGGGTTCCTCTTGCTCTCCAAGACCCCTTCCTGCCATTGCTGAGGAGAGGATAGTGGCAGAGGTATAGCATGCTTGACCCTGAATGTGAATGGCGTGGCCTTCTGGATGTGATGGTCGTGGACATGTCTGAGGGTCGAGCCACAGCAGGCACTGCAGAGCTGCTGTCCCCACTCGGAAAGAAACCCTTTCCAAACAGACCCGTTCTGCTCCTGCCTTCTCCCCTGGCTGTTGGCGTTCCTGGGGGCTCCTGGCCTCACACAAGAGCACAGGGGACACAGTTCTTCATGTTTGATCCGCTTCACCTGAGTCTCTGGGTGGCAGTGTGTAGGCATGGCAGGCTCCTGCCACACACATGCAGAGAGAATGTGCCCCCAGGGCCTTCTTGCCGCCTGCAAGACTGGGCTCTGTGCCAGCACCTGGCAATGTAAAAGTCCCAGGAAGTGACTCGAAGCAAGGGTGGCCGGCAAGGCCCTTTGTGTATTTTCACATTCACTGAAATGAAGCAAAACCCGCGTTTAGAGCGTTTGTGATCTGAAACTCGACTGCAGGGTCACCGAGGAGGACGGCGTCTTTCACACGCTTCTCTGCGCCTGTGCTGGGACTCCACCCTCCCTCCAGTTCAGCCAGCTCGGATGCTGACTGAGACCACGGAACGCTCCTTGCTGTGTGTGCCCCCCCGCACCCCCACCTCTGAATGCAGCTTTCCTCACCCTGCCTCAGGCCTACTGGGGCACCGGAGACAGTGAGGGGCTTGAGACACTTTGGGTAAATTTATTTCTCGGCTCAGCTTGGTGGGCCGGCTAAATTTAGAGTCCCCTCCACAGTCAGTGCCCAGGATTCATACATCCCCGCCCGAGGCTGGGCCCTCAGCCTCTCTGGCTCCTTCTCCACATGCCTGGCTTCCTTCTGCCATTCCAGGACCAGGCCCCCCTGAGATCAGCACCCCTGTGACCACGCCCTGCTTTGGGCAGCACCTCTGCAACCTGGAACCCTGCGACAGCCTCCTCCCTGCAACCAGGACTCCCCCCGACCTCTGACGCAAGCAAGCCCCCCCACAAGGGCCCCTCCCTGCAACCAGGCCGCCCGAAATGCCCTGCCCCACAACCAGGCCCCACTGGGATGGCCACCTTCCCTGTGACCAGTCCCCTCTGCATCCAGGCCCCCGTGGAACGAGAGCCCCTCCCCCCTTGACCAGGCCCCCTGCATTCTTCTCAGCCCCTTGGCCATCTCCCCTCCTGCCTGCCGACTTTCCCTGCAGGTTATGTCACCAATGGGGACCCTCTCCCTCTTCCTACTCTACAGTAATGATAGTCTTGTTGTCAGGGACAGGTGTGTGGAATAAATGCCAGGTTTTGGAGTCCTGGGAAAGAAGACCTGGAGGAGCTGAGGGCCGGGCACACATGTGTGGGCATTCGTGCACATGGCATCTATGGCCAGGGCCCCAAGCTGGGCCTGATCAAGGATTCAGGTGTGAGTGATTTATTGAGAGGTGATCCCTGCGAGCCCTGGTGGGAGAGCCTGGAAGAGAGACAGGGAGGGAAAGGAGCACGTGTGCCTTCTTCAGGATGCCCAGGTGGGTGCCTAGGCACCACCCTCTGCAGCCCCTGCGGTGGTGTGTGGGACATACGGCAGCCTCACCTGCCAAAGGGAGAGGGAGCTGGGTGTTCCTCCTCCATTCCGTCATCCCTGGCCGAGGGCTGTGTAGAAGATGTGGCCGGCCCAGCCCCTCCAGCAGGCCCTGGGTGAGCACAGAGGGGAGGACTTAGGCAAAGAGCTACCAGCACTTGCAGTAAGATGCAGTGAGCCGGGTGGGGCAATGGGGGATGTGGACACCCCACAGGCAGCATCTGAGGCACGGGACATGCCCGCCGGGGTGCACACCTGAGATGCTTCGGAGTTTTAGGAATTGCGCAGCTCCCGGAACCCGCGGTCTAACCGCGCAGCTCTCAGAACCTGCGGTTTAACCGCGCAGCTCCCGGAACCCGAGGTCTAACCGCGCAGCTCCCGGAACCCGAGGTCTAACCGCGCAGCTCTCAGAACCTGCGGTTTAACCGCGCAGCTCCAAGAACCCAGGGTGTAACCGCGCAGCTCCCGGAACCCGAGGTCTAACCGCGCAGCTCTCAGAACCTGCGGTTTAACCGCGCAGCTCCTAGAACCCAGGGTTTAACCGCGCAGCTCCCGGAACCCGAGGTCTAACCGCGCAGCTCTCAGAACCTGCGGTTTAACCGCGCAGCTCCTAGAACCCAGGGTTTAACCGCGCAGCTCCCGGAACCCGAGGTCTAACCCGCGGTCTAACCGCGCAGCTCCCGGAACCCGAGGTCTAACCCGCGGTCTAACCGCGCAGCTCCCGGAACCCGAGGTCTAACCCGCGGTCTAACCGCGCAGCTCCCGGAACCCGCGGTCTAACCGCGCAGCTCCCGGAACCCGAGGTCTAACCGTGCAGCTCTCAGAACCTGCGGTCTAACCGCGCAGCTCCCGGAACCCGAGGTCTAACCGTGCAGCTCTCAGAACCTGCGGTTTAACCGCGCAGCTCCCGGAACCCGCGGTCTAACCGCGCAGCTCTCAGAACCTGCGGTCTAACCGCGCAGCTCCTAGAACCCAGGGTTTAACAGCTTTTCGCCTTGTTTATACTTTAGATAGGAACATTTTAAGATTATGAAATATTTCAAGCACATAGCAAGTAGAAAATGTGGTTAGACTGAGTCTGTCACCCGGCTGTCACACTGCTGCGTTCTCATAATGAAATACCTAAAATACTCCACAGGCAGCCTCGGTTCTGATGTCCATCACCTGGCATTGGGCCTGCCAGTGGGTTCCATGGTGGTGGGGACAGAGGCATGCCTGTATAACTGTCAGCCTTGTAGGCAAATGGTCTTTCTCTCTAGTGGCTTCTACAGTTCTCTCATTAGGCTGGCACAGTGGCTCACGCCTATAATCCCAGCACTTTGGGAGGCTGGGGCGGGAGGATCACCTGAGCCCAGGAGACAGAGAGCAGTCGGGACGAAATAGGGAGACCTCGTCTCTACAAAGAGATTTAAAAACATAGGCATGAAGCTGAGTCCCAGCTACTAGGGAGGCTGAGGTGGGAGGATCACTTGAGCCCAGGAGGCAGAGGTTACAGTGAGCTGTGATCACACCACTGCACTCCAGCCTGGGCAACAGAGCGACACCCTGTCTTAAAAAAAAAGATTCTCTGTCTTTGGTGTTTCAGCTTTGTCACAATGTGATTTTTTTTTTTTTTTTTTTTTTTTTTTTGAGATGGAGTCTTGCTCTGTAGCCCAGGCTGGAGTGCAGTGGTGCGATCTTGGCTCACTACAACCTCCACCTCCCAGGTCCCAGTCCAAGCAGTTCTCCTACCTCATCCTCCCAAGTAGCTGGGATTACAGGCACGAGCCACCAAGCCCAGCTAATTTTTGTATTTTTCAGTAGAGACAGGATTTCACCATGTTGGCCAGTCTGGTATTGAACTCCTGATCTCGTGATCCGCCCACCTCTGCCTCCCACAGTGCTGGGATTACAGGCGTGAGCCACCGTGCCCGGCCCTCAATGTGATTCTTTATGGCTTTCATTGATTCTAAAAAATATTTGGTTATTGTCCTTTCAATGTTACTTATCCTCGTGTTAAGTAACATAGTACATACATGTAACAGACTCCAATGTTACATACACATAACAGACCTCATCCTCCTCAGAAGGGATTCCCAGGCCAAACATTGCTCCTGTTTTTATATGGCCTGGAAGATAAGTCTGGTTTCTAGATATTTAAGGGGCTGTTAAAAGAAGGAGGAGGAGGTGGGGGCGGAGAAAGAGGAGGCAGAAGGTGGGGGGCAGAAGGGGAGGAGGAAGGGAAGAAGAAAAGAAGAAGAATATTGGCAGAGACTGGACACAAACTGCGCAGCCTGACACGTGTTCCGTCAGGCTGTTTCCAGAAAGGCCACTCTAGGGTTCCGACGGTCCTCATCAAACACCTTCCACATCTTCCCAAAAAGCGTATTAACCAAGGCAGTGGTCTGGATGCTTCACTTCCAGTAGTGTTGGTGCCCCCGACAGCTGTCTAGCCCACCTTCCATCCCGCCCGTGTCCACCCACGCAGACCCCTGCGTCCATCACACACATGTGCATGAGCATATCCGGGACAGGCACGCAGATGGGCTGTTCCCTGGGGCGCCTGCGCTGTATCTCCATGTACACAGTGCAGATCTAACTCACCTGAGCCAGGATACAGCACAGGTGGTCAGCGGGACTTGTTGATTCACTAGAGTCACTTGTCATGAACTTTTCATGAATTTCCTCCATGGTCAGCTGATCAATCCCCAAAGATTCACAAAGTCACATCCTAAAAACAACACAGCTGTCCACTGACAGGTGAGTGAATAAACAAGGCACGGCCTATGCATATAGCAAAAAAGAAGGATATATGGACACGTGCCGCTGCGTGGCTGGCCCTTGAAGCGCCATGCTTGGTGAGATAAGCCAGTCACAGAAGGACAAATACTGCATGATTGCACTCACGTGAACACCCTGGAATCCTCAGATGCAGACACAGAAAGTAGAATGGTGGGCGCCAGGGACGAGGGGGCAAGGAGTGACTGATCAGCGAGGACAGAGCTTCAGTTTGGGAGGTGAGAGAGCTCTGGAGGTGGAGGGTGCTGGTGGCTGCACAAGAATGTGAGTGGAATCTTCACGCCATTCAGTTCTATACTTGAAATGATTCTGGCCGGGTGCGGTGCCTCCAGCCTGTAATCGCAGCACTTTGGGAGGCCAAGGCCAGCAGATCACGAGACCAGGAGACTGAGAACATCCTGGCCAACACGGTGAAATCCTGTCTCTACTAAAAACACAAACAAATTAGTTGCATGTTATGGCACCCACCTGTATTCCCAGCTACTCGGGAGGCTGAGGCAGGATTTGAACCCTGGAGGCGGAGATTGCCGTGAGCTGAGATCACGCCACTATACTCCGGCCTGGTGACAGAGGGAGACTCTGTCTCAAAAAAAAAAAAAAAAAAAAAAATTCTGATGCTGAATCTTGTTATGTGTATTTTGCCACAATAAAATATGTTTCAAATGGTTACATGGGAAATTTTATTTTCTCTTGCCACAAGTTTTAAAAGTGAACAAATGACTCTTGGGGCACACTGGTACAGGCTTTTTACAGAGAAAACTGAAGTATTGGATGTGAGATTGAAATAATTAACTAAGACAAAAGTATGCCAGATTGCAGGGTCTTTATTGCCGGCGACCACGGAGGACTCACGTCTCTCCAACCCGTGGCCCCGAACTCAGGGGGATCAGGGCATTTAAGCTGAAAAACCACATCCTGGAAGCAGGGCAAGCAACTCTACAGGAGCTTAGCTTGGTAACTACGGATAATCAAAGGCCAGACAGTTACTAATAAGAAAAAGACAAGCAGCTTTCCGTGGTGTGCGTTCTTCAGAGCAAGCTAGCAGTTTTGTTTACAGAAGCCAAGGTCAGCAGTTACTGCAAGGAGAATGGGACAGTACAACTTATTTCTGGAAAAAACAGCTTTGTCTTATAAAATGATGTTGCTCAGGCTCTAACTCTAGGCCGGCTCTAGCACATTCCCCTGTTCTCTTAACATGTATTAAATCTTTAATAGTTTTTCTTTTCTTGGATTTCTTCTTAATTAACGAACTAACATACTCTCTAGTGGATCTTTTAGTAAGAACCTACCGGTAATAGGTGGGAGTCAAGGGGGGTTGACTAGGAATTAGGGGGACAAGGAAGGTTGCTGCGAGGAGCGCAAAAGTCTCAGCTTTAGGTGGTCTGCTGAAGCTGAGGGCACTCTCTATTGTGCGTCCGGGGGATCAGTCTTGACATGTGAGTGGTGGATCCAGGCAGTCAGTCCGTCCACCTTGATTGCCGTGGGGGTGACCAGGATCACGGCGTAGGGTCCTTTCCAGCGAGGAGTTAGGTCAGAGGTGGTGAATGTCTTTACCAAGACTTTGTCCCTGGCCTGGAAGGGGTGGAGCGGCTGGTCAGTGAGGTCCCCTGGGGTAGGCTGAATTCCCCTGATGAGTGGGTGCACCTGGGACTGAACAGACTGGAGTGCCTGCAGGGACTTAAGGAGTGTGTGGTTATGGACTTCAGCATGCACGGTGTCTGCGAGTTTGGGGAGTAAGGGAGGGGGCCCTCCAAACATAATTTCAAAAGGAGTGAAGCTTTTCTTACAGGGAGTGCATTGGGTATGGAGGAGAACAAAAGGAAGCAGGTTGATCCAGTTTTCACCGGTCTCTAGAATGAATATGACAGCCACCAGAAGGCTTGCCAGGTCAGAGTTGCAATGACTGCGTCCAGTCCCCTACGGGCCCCCAAGGTGGGAGCGGCCGCCCGGGCGAGACTCTGAGATGGCTTTTGTCTGGGTGATGGAGGAATATAAATAATATCTTGCTGGGGCCTCCAAATGAAGTATTGGATGTGAGATTGAAATAATTAACTAAGACAAAAATATGCCAGATTGCAGGGTCTTTATTGCCGGCGACCACGGAGGACTCACGTCTCTCCAACCCGTGGCCCCGAACTCAGGGGGATCAGGGCATTTAAGCTGAAAAAACTACATCCTGGAAGCAGGGCAAGCAACTCTACAGGAGCTTAGCTTGGTAACTACGGATAATCAAAGGCCAGACAGTTACTAATAAGAAAAAGACAAGCAGCTTTCCGTGGTGTGCGTTCTTCAGAGCAAGCTAGCAGTTTTGTTTACAGAAGCCAAGGTCAGCAGTTACTGCAAGGAGAATGGGACAGTACAACTTATTTTTGGAAAAAAACAGCTTTGTCTTATAAACTGACGTTGCTCAGGCTCTAACTCTAGGCCGGCTCTAGCACAAAACCGGGAGATAAGTCTGTTTTGTCCCTAGTCTGTGTGGCAGTGAAGTCTGGTTTGTTTTTTTCATGTCAATAAAAATCATCGTTTGTGGAACCCTGAGTGTTCACCAGACACCATGCGAAGGGCCTGAAAGGCTTGACTTCCGGTTCCACACTCACGGTAACCCGGGGGTAACCGCACTGCCTGCGCCCTGATAATCTGCACTAGAAAATGAAGGCCGAGACAGCCTAGGTAGGTTGCCCATGACAGCGCGTCTAAAACGCGGCAGGTGGCTCACTTCTGTAATCCCAACAATCTGGGAGGCCAAAGCGGGAGGATTGCTTAAGTCCAGGAGTTCAAGACCAGCCTGAGTAAAATAGGGAAATCTCGTCTCTATAAAAAATCAAAAAATTATCCGGCACAGTGGCTCATGCCTGTGGTCCAGCTACTTGGGAGGCTGAGATGGGAAAATTGCTTGAGCCCAGAAGGTCGAGGCTGCAGTGAGCCAAGATCACGCCACTGCACTCCAGGCTGGCCGATACTGCCAGACCCTGTCTCAAAATAAAGTAAAATAAAATGTGGCAGCGTGTGAATTGCAATCCAAGCCACGCTGACCACGGAATCTAAGACTCTGATCGCCACGCTATGCAGCTCACTGCTCTTCCCCTTAGACCTCAGTTTCCTTTCTTATAGAACAAAAAGCTTCACTGATCCTTCTGAGTTGGCATCACAGACCTTTCCAGAGGGAGTTGCCCAGTCTGGGCTTGAGGACTAACAGAGTCCCACACACAGTCCCTGGCCTCAAGGGGCTCTCCGTCTGGCAAAGAAAGCATCTCAGTGTGGTCACTTCTCTGAGGGAGGAAGCATCTAATCCAATCTAGCAGACAGGGTGTGCTTCCTGGAGGAGGTGACATTTGAGCTGGGCTTTGGGTGTGAATAAGAGGACGTTAAACTGTAAGTCAGAGGAACAATGTCATGGAGAAATTAAACTCATAGTCTTTGGGTTCAACAGATTTTAATTCAAATTCCAAACCACCTACTTACCCCTTCTGAGTCTCAATACTGCCACCCGTGAAATGGGATACTAATTTATCCATCTCATGGGTTGTTATGTAAGGTAGGCGTCCAGTGCAGTATCTGCACATGGTGAGCTCATGATACATAACTCAGGCCTGTGATAATTTGTGTATTGCTAAGATGGTCCAAAAAGGCTTCCCAGTTCTTAGATCCCGTGGCTTTCAACTTACTAATCGTTGCGATAACAAACGATCTTGAGCACACGCGCTGTAGCAAGTAGGGTCCCTGCTTCCTCTCTGAGCTCAGCCCGCTCACACAGGCCTGGCACCGTGGCCCACCCGGGAGGAAGCTGCCTTTTTACGAGATGAACTGCGCCCCTCCTTCTGCATGCATTTTTATGCTGTATTTGGTAGGAAGCACTGATGCACCCAGGGCATCCAAGGGCTGGGTCGTGATCTGGCCTCCATCCACTGAGTCAGAGCCTCTGCCAGGAGTCCATGTCAGCCACAAATAGAGCCATTTGCTTCTATTTTGGTGTAGCAAAGAGGACCTGTGCATGGACAGGATCCAAGCTGGCCATGATCTTGACAATGTGTTTGTTTTAATGCTGAATTACGTCTAAAAATAGGTCTGGGAGAGGTGGCTGCCGAGGCTGCTATCCTGCTTGGCCAACTGAAGGTTTGGGACTCAGGATGGGGCCCTGGCTGAGACCATGAGGGCTGCCCATGCATGACCTCGCCTGCTGGCCTTCATGAGCCCACTATCTGAATGTGGTTCCCCTTCTCCCCAGGACCAGGTACCACCTCCTCTGGGGAGCCTTCCCTGCCCCTCCGCAGAATATGGCCTCCTTGTTCCTTTCCTTCCATCAGCTTATGTGCTTGTCTCCACCAACAGACCAGGAGCCTCTGAGGCAGGGACTGGGTCTGTCTGATTCATCTCTGCATCCCTAGCACTTGCCTAGGTGCTCAGCGAAAGCTCAAACCTGCCTGAGTTCCCACCGTGTCTCCGCTACCACCAGCTCTGTGAACTCAGGCGAGCTTCTCTCCCTCTCTGGCCCTTGGTTTCTATGCATAGGAAACAGAACAGCCATCCCTTCTCATGAGGGTGGCGGTGAGCCTCAGAACTTCCAGACACCCCCTTCTTTGCTGCCCCGGATTCCTGTGCTCACGTGAGCAGCTCTTTCACCTGGTGCAACCTGTACATGGGACTCAACAAGAACGTGCACACCTCAAAGGGGTTCTGTCAGGAAGAAGTGGGATGATTTTGGTGAAGTTAAACTGAGACTGAAACTCCCTTCCCCAGTGTCAGCAACCACTGGCATTCCATTAGTCCATTCTCATGCTGCTCTGAAGAAATACCCGAGACTGGGTAATTTATAAAGAAAAGAGGTTCTATTGACTCACAGTTCTGCAGGGCTGGGGAGACCTCAGGAAACTTACAATTGTGGCAGAAGGCACCTCTTCACAGGGCAGGAGAATGGGACAAAGCAGGGGAGATGCTAGATGCTTATAAAACCATGAGATCTCGTGAGAACTCACTCATTATCACGAGAACAGCATGGGGGAAACCAGTGCCATGATTCAATTATCTCCACCTGGTTGTAGCCTTGATACATGGGGATTATGGGGACTATAATTCAAGATGAGATTTGGATGATGACACAGAGTCAAACCATATCTGGCATCATCGTTATCACCATCATCACCATCACCATCATCATCACCATCACCGTCATCAGCATCACCACAACCTTCATAATCATAACCACCACCACCACCATCATCATCACCATCATCACCATCACCACAACCTTCATAATCATAACCACCACCACCATAACCATCACCATCACCACCACCTTCATCATAACCACCACCACCATCACCATTACCATCATCATC